TGTTTCGTCATCTGGGAAATGAAACAACCCGTCTTTAAGTATTATAGGAAATTTTAAATGATAGGATGGAAGATGCTAGCACACTGCCTGGTCCAGAGTAGGCACATCAGTATTCCTTTGCCCAGTGCAAATATTACTTCAGTTACACTGTAATAGAAACCTAAAGTTACAAATTTTAGTTTAGAGTTTATTTCCAAGGCTTAACTTTATACTTTCATACCAGTTTTTCTGAGAAATGTTAAACATTTTGTCTTTTGGAAATCCTCATGACTGTTTTATTTTAAAAAATTGTAAGAGAAATTAACTCATATTCTCTGCTGTGGCTCAAACAGTTGTACTGGGTTTCAAAATAAATTTGATCTTAATATTTTTGTGGGACGATCTGTGGTAGAGGATGGAAGGAATATATACTAGAAATCTGACAATCCTTGTTCACAAATAGATCTTTACCAGTATTTAAAAATGTTACACTTGTATACTCAAAAGCATCTTAGTGTGAAAGTGAATACTGTTAATTGAAATTACAAAGGGGAATGGGAGTGAAGATAATTTGGAATTATATTCACCTATGAACAATTGTTTTATTAGGATATGTATCCAAGGCTATTTTTACCATGGGACCCATAGGAACAGTCTATAGGGAAGTATAAAGAGTACAGTCTCACAGTTCAGCAAATTGAGTGTCTGTGTGTCAGGCACTTTTCTAGACTTTGGGGATATGCCGATGAATTACCTGCTTTCTGTCATCCTAAACTTTCTTGTTATCTCTGGAGAGAAAAACAGTTGTGAAAGTATTACTGTTAGGGCTTGGGTTTAGGAGAAAAGAGTAATAGAAAAGAGGTAAAGGGAAAAAGCTTTGCTTTTATGAGTAGTAGTGGTGTCTTAAAATCTGCCTTCATTTCATCTCTGAACTGCTTCTGAATCATCCCCTACCCCTCTGGGTTTTCTCCTGTTTATAGATTATCTGTTATGGGTCAGATATGATGAATCTTCTATAGACTTGGTAATGTAAGCACAGGAACTGGATTACTTTAGTTATTTTTGTATAGATAAAGGGTTATTTACATTGTACAGCCTACCATTCAAGTGAATTTACACATTGTGTATTTTTTTTTTTAAGGGATTTAACTTCTGAAGAAGAAAGGTTCATGAAACCCAAAGTAACAATGATAGCTTGGAATCAGAATGATAGCGTTGTTGTTACAGCTGTGAATGATCATGTCCTCAAAGTGTGGAACTCTTATACTGGACAACTGCTTCATAACTTACTGGTAAGTAGTTCTTATCCGGTATAACAAATCAAGTATTTTTTGAAAAACTTCTATTTTTAAAGCTATGAAGTTAATATATTAAACATGTTTCTTTCATTTATATTATCAAATAAATAGAAGTTTGTATAAATACTGATAAAAATTACTGTCTCATGCTTTTTTTATAAAAATATTTTTTAAAGCCGTTATATAACTATGCAAATGTGTGTTTTTAATTAGAAACTTATAAATTGCAAACCCTGCTTAACTATATGACTTTGTTGAATGAAGGGACATGCTGATGAAGTGTTTGTTTTGGAGACACATCCCTTTGATTCCAGAATTATGTTATCTGCAGGACATGATGGCAGTATATTTATATGGGATATTACAAAAGGTACCAAGATGAAACATTATTTTAATATGGTAAGTGTGGGATGTCTTCATGCATGTTTGCATTTGTTTCAATTATCTGGATTAAAAAGTTTAGCCAGAAACAGAGCTGCATGTTTCGGCAGTTTATATTTCTAAAAATCAGGATATTTAAAGTTTAATAAATATCTGACATACATACATACACACACACACATATGAAATTCTCTATAACTGAGGGATTTTCAGAAGTTATCAGTTTAGCTTTGTGTGTATGGGTGAACATCTCTCTGTGTTTAAATTGGCAAAGTTGTGATGACTATAGACAACTTGAAACTATGCAGCCATACAAATTTTGCATGGTGGTCAGTCATCTTAATAGAAAGTTTAAACTCTAGGAAAGTATTGACTTTTAGTTCATGAATACCATACTTCATTAATTTTTATTTACCTTGTAGGTTATTAGCCAATAGCCTTTTGTTATATATTAAAACAAAAGTTTCTGAAGGTGCTTGTCACTCACTTGTCTGAAAAAAAGCCTTTGTTTTGGATTGGTTTATGATCCTTCATTCAGTCATTTTGGCAACTGATTCTTAGATCTTTCAAAATTTCTTCAAGGCTAATGGTATCTAAAAGTGAATTTTATTTCCTGAAAATATAAATTGACATGCTCAATGAAAAATTTGTTTTTAAATTCATTTTCCTGAAATGTTATAGCAGACTAGCAACTGTGAAAAGTTGATACAGCAAAAGCACTTGCATAAACTTGGTCATAACTTTGTTGCTTTCTTTTCTTTTTTTTTTTTGGTTAGCATGTGCCAGACTTTTTTTTTATTTGAGTCATGAATGAGGCTTTTTCCCTCTGTGTTTCCTAGATTGAAGGACAAGGACATGGAGCTGTATTTGATTGTAAGTTTTCACAGGATGGACAGCATTTTGCCTGTACAGACTCTCATGGGCACCTTCTGATATTTGGTTTTGGATGCAGCAAGCCATATGAAAAGGTCATTTTAAATATTTTTTACAGTATATAAAGTAATTAGGAAGGACATGGTAAAAATAGATGTGTTTCCTTTTTTTTCTAATTATAATTAACTAGTTAATATTTTTCTTCTAACATGTATAAACCTCATAGTATCAAGCATCAACCTGTAAACTTCCCTTTTTTTTTGTTTACATTTTCCTTTTCTAGATTCCTGATCAGATGTTCTTCCATACTGACTATCGACCGCTGATTAGAGATTCTAATAATTATGTCTTAGATGAGCAAACTCAACAGGCTCCTCATCTTATGCCTCCACCATTCTTGGTAGATGTAGATGGAAATCCTCATCCAACTAAGTACCAGAGACTAGTACCAGGCCGAGAAAATTCTGCAGATGAACATTTGGTTCCACAGCTAGGCTATGTGGCAACAAGTAAGTACAAAGTCTTTTTTTAAAAAAAAAAACAACAAAACTTTTTATTTGAAAAATGTAAAGAAAAATACAAAGAACTCCTGTACTTTCAGATTAACCAGTTGTTAATAGTTTGTAATAATTGTTTTATCATTTATCTCTAGATACATATTCTTTTGATTCACTTGAGGCTCATGTTCTGAACCTCATGACTATTTACCCCTAAGTACTTTAATACGTATTTTCTGAGAACAAAGGTATTCTCTTACATAATCATAAATTATAATCAACATTTGACAGAATGCAACACACAATGTTATAGCCTTCCTGGAGCATCAGATCAGGATGCTTGTGATTGTGATTTGTACAGTGGTAATGTCTTTGGACACTCAGTTAAGGTGATGTCTGTCAGGTTTTGCCACTTTGAAGTTATTTTTCTCTTTGTAAATAATAAGTAATTTGTGGGGACATATGATGTAGATAGTCTGTTCCTTAACAGACTTGTGTTTTAGGATCTACTGATGATTTTTGCCTGAGTCAGTTGTTACTTGAAGGTTGCAAAATGATTTTTTTTCCTAACTCCATCATTGGATCTAAATTTTATTAGTTGGCCTTATACTACCCTTCCTTTTGTTTATGTAGTTCATTAAGTTTTAGTTTGGACTTAAGGGGTTGTCATACAGTAAATTATAGTCCAGCACTGTTGTTACTTTGTTGCTCGTATTATCCTTAGATTTGACTACTGGAGCCTCTTCAAGCTGAGTTTTGTGTCTTTCTCAAGTCCCCTTGAGCACTTGCTTGCTTTTTGTCATAAGGTACTCCGTTCTCAAATTGTACTTTGCCTGGCCTAGCCAATTGCAGAGTTTTTGTATTTTTCATAGCGGTGCAGTGGTTGTCCTGATATATTATTAAGCAAAGGAAAAAATGCTTCTGTACAGGCAAACCTTGGAGATACTGCAGTTTTGGTTCCAGGCCATTGCGATAAAGTAAATAATGGAACAAAGCAAATCACATGAATTTTTTAATTTCTCAGAACATATAAATGTTATGTTTACAGCCCTGGTCGGGTGGCTTAGTTGGTTGGAGCATTGTCCTTTGCACTGAAGGGTTGTGGGTTGGATTCCTGGTCAGGGCACATACCTAGGTTGTGGATTCAATACCCAGCTATGGTACATAAAGAAGGCAGCTTATTGATGTTTCCTTCTCACATCAATGCCTGTCTATCTGTCTCTACTCTCTGCCTCCCCAAATCAATAAATATATCCTTGTGTGAGGATTGAAAAAAAAAGTTATGCTGACACAGTACTGTGGTCAGTTAAGTGTGCTGTATCATTATGTCTAAAAAAATGTATGTTCCTTAATTAAATAATACTTTATTTCCAGAAAGTGCGTACCATCATCCAAGCCTTCAGCAAGCTGTGTTCTTTGTTGGTGCAGGATCTTGCCTTGATGTTGATGGCTGCTGACTGATCAGGGTGGTTGTTCCTAAAGGCTGGAGTGGCTGTGGCAATTTCTTAAAATAAGACAGCAATGAAGTTTGCCACATTGATTGACCCTTTCATTCACTAACACATTTTCTGTAGCATGCAATGCTGTTTTATAGCATTTTATCCACAGTGGAACTTCTTTGAATATAGGGGTTAATCTTAAACCCTGCTGCTGCCTTATCAACCAAGTTTATATAATATTCTATATCCTTTGTTGTCATTTCAACACACTTCACAGTATCTTCACCAGGAAATTCCATCTCAAGAAACCACTTTCTTTGCTTTTCCATAAGAAAAAAACACCTCATGTGTTAATGTTTGGTTATGAGAGTGCATCAATTCAGTTACATCTTCAGGCTCCACATGTAAATCTAGTTCTCTTATTATTTTCACCATACCCGCAGTTAATTCTTCCATGGAAATCTCCCCAAATCCTGTTAGCATTGTTATTTTGACCTCTTCCCGTGAATCACAAATGTTGTTGTTCTTTTCTGAAAAATAGGGAACACTTTATGGATTTGCATGTTGTCCTCACGCAAGGGCTATGGTAATCTCCTCTGTATCGTTATGGTTTTATTGTATGCGCTGCCGGAGTGAGCCTGAATCCCAAATGTTTTAATGGTATCTGGAATGATGAATCCTTTCTAAAAGGTTTTCAATTTACTTTGCTCAGATCCATCAGAGGAATCACTACATACAGCTATAGCCTTACTAAATATGTTAACCTGAAAGTTGAAATCACTCCTTGATCCATGGCCTGCAGGATGAATGTTGTGTTAGCAGGCATATAAACAACATTAATCTCATTGTGCATCCCCATCAGCTCTCTTGGGTGACTAGGTGCGCTCTCAATGAGCAGTGATATTTTGAAAGCAATCTTTTTTTTTATGAGCGGTAGGTCTCAACAGTGGACTTAAAATATTCAGTAAACCATGTTGTTAACAGATGTGCTATCATCCAGGCATTGTTCCATTTACAAAGTAAAGGCAGAATAGATTTGGTATAATTCGTACGGGCCCTGGGATTTTCAGAGTGATGAGCAAGCATTGGCTTCAATTTAAAGTCACAGCTGTATAAGTTCCTAACAGGAGGGTTGGCCTGGCCTTTGAAGCTTTGAAATCAGACATTGACTTTTCCTCTTGAGCTGTGAAGGTTGTAGATGGCATCTTCTTCCAATATGCGGTTGTTTCATCTACACTGAAAATCTTCATTAATTATCTTCTGGATAACTTGCTGCGGACTCTACACAAGCACTTGGCGCGTCACTCTGAACTTGGTTTTATGGAGACTGCTTTCCTTAAAACTCATGAGCCAACCTCAGTCAGCTTCAGACTTTGCTTCTGCAGCTTCCTCACTCTCTCAGCCTTCACACAGCTGAGGAGGGGTAGGGCCTGGCTCTGGATTAGGTTTTGGTATAAGGGAATCTTGTGGCTGGGTTGCTCTTCTGTCTAGACCACTAAAGCGTTCTCCATATCAGCTGTAAGGCTGTTTCTCTTTCTTATTCATGTGTTCACAGGAGTAGCTCTTCTAATTTCCTTTATGAACATTTCCTTTGCATTCACAACTTGGTCAACTGTTTGGGGCAAGAGGCCTACTAACCTTTTGGCGTATCTTGACTTCCAACATACTTTCCTCACTTAAGCTCAGGCATTTCTGGCTTTTGATTTATGGTGAGAGATGGGTGTCTCTTCTTATCATTTGAACACTTAGAGGCCATTGTAGGGTTATTAATTGGCCCAATTTCAATATTGTTGTGTCTCAGGGCATAGGGAGGGTTGTGGGGAATAGCTGGTCAATTGGAATACAACACAACATTTATTTATCCATTAAGTTCACCATCTTAAATGGGTATGGTTCCTTGTGCCCCAAAAGAGTTACAATAGTAACATCAAAGATTCCTGATCACAGATCATCCTAACAAATATAACAATAAAAATGAGTTTGAAATACTGAAAGAATCACCAAAATGTCACAGAAACACAAAGTGAGCAAATGCAGTTGGAAAAATAGTGCTGATGGACTTGCTCAATGCAAGGTTGCCACAGACCTTCAATTTATTAAAAAAAATCCCATGGTATCTGTGAAGTGCAATCAAGTGAAGCACAATAAAATGAGGAATATGCTTGTAATTTGTTCAGATGAGGACTGATTTACTGAAACTAAATCACCAGTTTGTATGTTATGGGTTTGTTTTTTTTTTTTAAGATTTTGTTTACTTTTAGAGAGAGGGGAAGGGAGAGAGAGAAAAACATCAGTGTGTGAGAGATATCGGTTGCCTCTCACAAGGCCCCCATCTGGGGACCTGGCTCATAACCCTGCATATTCCCTTACTGGGAACTGAACTGATGACCTGTGAGTTCACAGGCCGGCGCCCAGTCCACTGAGCCACACTAGCCAGGGCTATATATTAGGTTTAAGCTTAATGTAAATCATGAATGTTTGCTGTTTCAAATGTTTATTTTTTATTAGTTTGATGGAGTATACTTTCCATCCAACAAAATTCATCATTTTTAAGTGTACTGTTCAAATGAGTTTTGACAAATGTTAAATAGTTGTGTAACAACCACCCCAAATGAAGATTCAGAACATTTTCATTTCCCCCAAAAGTTCTCTTGGCCCTATGTGGAGTCAGTCTTCTCTCTTCTCCTGGCACCCTTCTAACGGTTGTTTCTTTTTGTCACTTTAATTTTGTCTTTTTAAGGTATTTTTACAAATGGCATTATACAGTGCATATTCTTCATGTCTGGCTTCCTTCTCTGTCATGTTGCTATTTGTTTTCTCTTTATCCTTTTAGTACTTCTTTTCACTTTTCTGCTTGCTTTGATTTTTTTTTAGTGTTTCATATTATCTCTGTTAATTGTTTTATGAGCAATACCTATTTGTTTACCTCTTATTTATGTATTTATTTTTTAAAGGACACTTTATCCAGTGCAAAATAGCTCAGTTGTGGTGCAGCTCAGCCACGAAAACAGCATGACTGTGGAACAGCTCAGTTGCGATACAGCGCTGCCACGCCTGTGAGGAGGCCCTGGGGCCTGGCGGGCCTGGGCCCCGGCTCTCTCCAGCTAGGCAGATCGGATGCACCCCTCCCTGGCCCACTCTGGGCCGGTCTCTTTTGCTCTACCCTGCTGTCCCCTGGGCAGGTCTGCTCTGCTCTGGTCTGCCCTTGTTCGCGCGTTCTGTCTGGTGAAACCTCTTTGGTGTTTCAGCTCCAGTCAGGGAAACACAGTCTTTGATGGAAAGGTACTCCACCTGTGTGCTCTGTCCTGTTTGTTGTTAATGATTCCTGTAGGCCAGGAATTGTCAGTGTGTGATTTGCTGACCCATAGTTTTATCCATGACCTTTTATGGGGTCTTCGAGGTCACAACCATCTTTATAATGATAGGGAAATATTTGCTTTTTTTACAGTGTAGATATTTGCAGTGATGCAGTAGTGGCTCAGAAGCAGTGGTGGGTAGACTTGTGGCACCTTAGCACACACAGAGCAAGGGCATGACACGAGACTACCAGAAGAGTCCCTGTATTCTTCACTGCCTTGAACACACACTTTAAAATATTGTGAATGTTAAAATGAGAAATGTGCAGAAAGCAGTCCTGCTATGTGCTCTGAAGTCTCTCTGTTCTGGCTGGTGGGAAATGAGCCATTTCCAGCCCTGTGTGTGTGTGTATGTGTGTGTTTTGACATACCACTATTTCCTATTTGTCCCCCAGCATGGCAGAGTTTTTACCAAATGCATGTGTATATCATTAGGTAATCAAAGAATTGATTGGCCCTGGCTGTATATCTCTGAGCTTTCTGTGTATTCAGTCTGTGATATTCAGCTCTGCATAGTCTAGTCTTCCTCCCTGCTCCCAGACTCTGATCCCTGTCTCCTCAGTCAGACTTCTGGATGCCTGTGGATTCCCTCTCTTTGTTCTGCAGCCTGGAAACTGCTTCCAGGCTTCTACCTGCAGCAATCAAAAGGCAGGACTCCATTTGTTTTTCTTTTCTCAGGGATCTCTGTGCTGGGAGTCCTGTGCTGCCTGATTTCCAATGTCTGAAAGCCCTTGTTTCCTATATTTTCAAACCATTGTTATAGTACTTTATAGTAGAAGGGCAGTTCCTGTAGCACTTAATAAGCCTTCATGGGTGGAACCCTCCTTTAATATTTGAATAGTGACTGCATTATGCCAAATAGAAACAGTTACCATTCAGATGATATTTGCCAAGTTACATTTAAATGTTTCGTGCTGTGAAAGAAAAGGTACATAGACTTAGGGTTTTTGGGGAGAAGGGGAGAGGATTAAGAGTCTACTTTTCTACTGTTTTCCCTTTGTTTCTGTGTTGTGTTCATGGGAATTTTATGATATGCCCACTTCTTCCCCTCTCCCCCATTCACCCACTTCTAATTAAAATCTTTTTATCATTTTAGATTGGGGCTTCACTTCTTGCCTCCTTAGCTCATTTTTTGAGAGTGATCAAAAAATTTTAGTGATACTGAGATAGTTAATCTAATGCTTATGAATGACATTTAGCTCTTGTAAGTTCTTCATTGATTTCCATAGTAGAATGGAAGTGTTATCAGTAAGCTATAAGGGAATTAACTCAGTAGGATGGAAGGTTTTTTTTTTCCTTGATACACTAAATGACATTTTTCAGTTACTTGAAAATGAATTAAGTCTTTGCATTCCTTTTGCCTAATTTTCTACTAATTTCCGTTAGGGTTCTGCTTTAACATTGGCGAGTGGCTGGTCTGTTACATATTATGCTCAAAGAAGGTGCATTTTATTGTGGGAGGGCTATGTAAGGAATTCTTTGTATGAAAATGTTAATGTTTTGATGAATTTCCAGATCTACAACCATTAAACACTTTTTATTCATTAACACTTACTCTAAACCTGTCAAATGTTTCTGAAAATGTATTATTTGAAAAATAAAGAAGAAAAGACACTGAAAAAAATTTGATTTTGTACTTGAAGTAGGAATTAGGGGTATTGGCTATGCAAAAGCATAGATGGATGGGGGTGGGGTGGGGAACCTAAGCTTAGTGGGAGAGGCATGTGTGGCTACCTCTATGAACTGCACCTTCTCTCTCAGGATTCTTGGAGCAGGGGGAGAGCGAGAGTTATATAGTTTGTGGAAGGCCAAAAAGGTGTTGTTCCCCCTTAAAATATTTTTTTTAAAACAGTAGAGAAGAAATGCCAATACTTTTTCTCCCTCATAAGTCACACATTGTTGTTGTGTTCTAGTGAGAGGGACTTTGGGCAATAAGATTTTAATGAAGCATATTTTGTATAAATGAGGGGTGTTAGTGTGAACTAGCAAAATAAAATTTTCACTGAAATGTGTTTCCACATGCATATTTGCTGGGATTTCAAAGGCTCTGCTGAGGTTTCTGTGGCATTTATTGTTCCCTAAAGGAAAGCTCTTACGGGTTTTGAATCTTTTGTCTGACTTAGTTATGAATGTATAGGATGTCTTTATTTTTTTTAAACAGAAAGCCTCACAATTGCTGATGTAATTTTAATTGTAGTCTACTGAAAGTTTTTTTCCTGTTTTTATATGGATTATGATTTTATCTTTATTCATTGAATTTGCAGGTGATGGAGAGGTAATTG